GAACGGAGCATTTCGGGCATCGCTACGAACGGAGCGATCGGACGCTACGAACGGAGCAAGGGCCTTTCGTCCAACATGTTTCACCGCATCCGACCCCACCCGGACCGCGCCCGCTGCGCTTCGAAGCTCGAGCGCTGATCTTGCTTCATAAGGCATTCCCTGAAAGCGGGAGATGTCAGATTTCCACGGCTTCGGTTTAGAGCCATTTGGGGAAAAAGAAGGCAAAGGACAACTCAACTGCAGATTGGCCTGGCATGTTTCCACTCGTTCTGCTCTTCCATAGGCAAGAATCCCACCATCATCATGAATGCCGAGCTGATGGCCATGGCCTCAAAAAGAGGTCAGTCTATCAGCCTGAGAAATCTTCACTTTCTCCCAGCGACATCGCTTGAAGTGAACCCAGCTGAGCTCGAGTCAGAGGGCTTGGGCATGTTCTTGGATATCGCTTCGAGCTCCTTCTGAACCGCTGGAGGTAGCGTAGCCCCTTGTGCTGCCTCGCTTCAGGAGGCCGGTGTGTATTGAAATAGGAGACCTCCCAGTTCGACCTCCGTTTTCAGATGGAAACTGCTCGGGACGATGCTGTGGAGATCTGTGGAGATACCGAGATACCTTCATCCGCCTGAAGGGAATCTCCATGTTTACCGCAAAACCCATCCGCTTGAGGGTGTCTCCCGGTGCCTCGACTCCAAAAAAACAAACATGACCGGACTGGTGTAGATTCAAAAAACGATTTCGGGGTGGTTGGAGTGAGAGGAGGTGCTTTGTCAAATGGGATAGAATGACTGGTACTGGCATTCCATTTGGTATACGAATCCAACGAGCTCGTACGAATCGTACTCCTACGTAGACACGAACCGATTCCAGACCGGCGGAGACCCCATCCGCATCAAGCAGCAAGTTCCTGGCCCATGAGTGCATCCATCATGTTCCCCATGGCAGTGTCATCCAACCAATAGATCATCTGGCGCGCTGCGGGGGGCCCGCTCCCGGTGCTCGGCGAAAACTCGACCACGACCACTCGACCGGTGCGGGAGGTGGAGTCTCTCTCGGGATGTGATGCGTCTCTCGCGAAACCACGCGAGCGCCTCTGCCAAGGGGCATCCTGGATTGATCGTGGCTGGCCTGCAAACCGTCGAATCTCCCAGTGTTGTTCGTCTCTCTTCACCTCTGAGATGCTGGCCCGGAATAATAGTGGTCGTAGTAGCTGCAGTCGTTCGCCCCCTGTCGCCATCCCACGTGTGTGCGCTTTTTTGGGCCAAGTGCCAACTTGTAACGGGCAAGTAGTAACCATGAATTTTCACCTGTCTGCAGGTCGTAACTTGGGGCATCGCTACTAGGAGCAAGAAGCTATTAGGGGCTCCTGGGCATCGCTACTAGGAGCATTCTTACTAGTAACAAGAAGCTACTAGGGGCTTCAACAGTTTCCCAAAAACACCCTCGCGTCTGGGCGCGTTGGGCCACCGCACGCTACGTGGGACGTCCGGGTTCAGGTCCAGCAGGGTCCCGCAGCTGGATCCGAAAATGCCCCTGCTCGATTCCTTCAACATACTTCCGGTCCTCAGCTGACCAGCGCAGCTATTTTATTAGGTTGGAGGCCATCGCTCGCTGTTTGGGTGGAGGCCTTCGCTGGAAGGTTGGAGGCCATCGCTAGTGGGTCAAAGGCCATCGCTGGAAGACATCGCTAGGAGGGTGGAGGCCATCGCTAGTCCTCAGCTTGCATTTTCTGCCCAGCTCATCAGCTGCTCACCAGCTACCAGGACCATTGAACTCATAGCTTGCCCGAAGTCCACTCCCTTTTCGTCTTGGGTTCCACTCTGAGGACGTCATTTCCCGTTCCAGGTCCCCAATCGTCAGACTTATGACCTTTTAAGTCGACTTGCAGGGAGATCCCGGCGGGGCGCATTTTCGCGACTTGCTCGAGCATCATGGGAAGCAGCACCGTGACCTCGGTCCGAAACGAACGAAACGGAAGAACCACCTGCTGCACCTGCTGCATGTGTGGTGTGCGACATGATGACATGCCACGCGGTGCGTGGGTACCGCAGCGAGGAGCAAAGGCGTTGCGGAAGGAGATCCGCACCAAGCCGTCCAGCAGACTGAAGCCCGGCAGAAAGAAGCCCAAGGTCTGGGCGGGTTTGGCACCATCGACCGGTTTGAGGTCCGGTCACTGGGTCCGGCGAACGCGACAACGCCATGTGCCTCCAGGAGGGGAATCACCGTGAGGCTGGTCTGGACCATGGAACAGAGATTATGCGCAGCGATCTCCTTGATGCCATCGCAATTCCCCTGCAGCGCTTGCATTTGATCCTTTGCTCCCGCCATCGAATTACCTCACGAGCCGCTCGTTTCTCGCCGCTCGCCGCTCGCCGTCCCGCGAGGAGGGTCTGTTAACAGAGCGCTTGCCCGTGCTTCGGGATAGGCGAGGGGCTCTCGAGCGCCATCATGACACCCGCGGACTTGAGGTAAAGATCAAAAAAGAGGAAGAGGAAGACCTCACCCAAACTTGGTTTCTTGATCAGCCATTACATTAAAAAAACTAGACGACGAGTGGCCCGAAAGCATTTTTCATCACGTAGGAAGTCAGAGTGCGAGTTATCCGGTA